GTGTGTACATTCATATCGTTCATCAACTTTGAAATATCTTAAAATATTCTTTCTGGCTCTTTCTCTCTCTCCTTCTTCTTCTGCAGTTCCCATAATGCATATATTGGTCCTCTTCATGATGTCTTAAGGTCCTTTAGGCCCTGTTCACTTCATTCTTTTTTCTTTCTGCCCCCCCCCATACTCAATCATATCAATTGCCCTATCTTCATGTTCACTGATTCTTCTGCTTGCCTAAATCTGCTATTAAACTTGTCTAGTGATTTTTTCATTTCAGTTATTGTACTTTTCATCTCCAGAATTTGTTTGGTTCCTTTTTATAATTTCTGTCTCTTTATTGATAATTTGTTCATGCGTTGTTTTTCTGATTTCCTTTAGCTCTTTGAACATATTTTATAGCATTTTTTAAAAAGTCTGTCTTATAATTCCAATGTCCAGGCTTCCTCGAGGATGGTTTTTGTTTGTTTATTTTGTTTCTTCAATTGTAATTATCTTGTGATTTTTTTTGGCATGTGTGTTGAAAACTAGACATTTAAATACTATGATATAGTAACTCTGGAAATCAGATTCTCCCTGTTTCCCAAACTTTGTTGTTTTTGATTGTTGACAGTTGTAGTAGTCCACTTGTTAGTGAATTTTTAAAATTATTTTTCAAAGACTGTATTCCTTACTATGTGTTGTCACTGAAATTCACCCTTAGGTTTTGTTCACTTACTGCTTTGACAGAGATTTCCTTGAATGTCAGGAGCTAAAAAAAAAAGAAAGAATCACCTCTCCTGATCTTTGTAGACTGACTCTGTGCTGGGGCTTTTCTTCAACACTTAGCCAGGCTTGCACTGCTTCTAGGGATTAGCTCAAGGTGAGAATTTAGAGTCTTTTTAGGTCTTTTCTGTGCATGTGTCTTGCACTGGGCAAGGAGTCATTATTTGAACTGGTCACTGTATTGTTTCAATAAATAGACTGATTATAGTCTAACCTGTGCAGAAGAATACTAATTTTTAATCTGTTCTCATGGTTCAGAGTTCAGGAGAGCATAGAAACAAGGCTTTTGACTTTGAACGAGGTTGTTTTCATCTATTCCAGTTGCTTTAGTTATTACCCACTTCGAGGAGACATTCAGATTTAAATCTCTAGCCCAGACCAGACCAATGTAACTGTCTTCTTGAAGTCATCTTCGCTTAGTTGTCTCACAGGCAGCTGAAATACAGTATGTCTAATACCAAACTCATGATCTGTTTCCCACCCCCAGCCTTGTCTTTTTCTTTTGTTCCCTGTTTCTGTTGTTCCCTGTCTCAGTGAATGGCCACATTGTTCACCCTGTCCCATGATCCACAAAGCTAGGACTCATTCTTGATAACTTCCTCTTCATCTCCCATATACAGTGAATATATTCTCAACAGCGTAGCCAGATTGGTGTTACCCTTCCTTCTTAAAATATTTCAGTGAGTAAAATAATAACTGCGTGTGTTTGTCTAATAAGCCAGTCTGTTTTTAAGATTTGATTTTCCTTTAAGAGTAGCTTCATATAGTAGGGGGATACTTTCCAGTTTATCTAAAAGTATATGTAATTTTATAGTATTCTAACTTATTTTTGATTTTACAATATTAACTATTTTTTTGATATATTTAAAATATGCATGGGCATTTCTGCTACAATGTGATAAATGACTGCTAGAAAACCTGAATCCTGTAAATTTGTGCACTAAAAATTATAAGACTTACGGGGAAAATAGAATCAGGGACAAGTATCTGGGGAGGCACCAGTCCAAAACCCTGGATGTGGATTGAGCTGGGGCCAGACAGTGGACAGCAGTCAAACTGGAGCCAACCTGGTCCGACTATTTCAGGTGTGGTCCTTGGACCATTCCTGTGCAGAGGGACCACTGAGCCTGTGTAACTCCACAAACCTCAAGTAAAGAGAACTGGGGTGAGGGGCAGAGGCTGTCCTGGCACAAGGGCTCAGTCCCTGGAGGCTCCTGAAGCCCAGACCAGGACATACCACTCACTCAGGACCAATGGAACTTTGGAGTGTGAATTGGTCTGCCTGTGACCAGATTAAGCCACAGAGGCACGGGTTAGGTGTTGGCGGCATCAGGCTCAGGGCTAGCCCCAGTGCCCTCCACTTCTAGGAGGTCTAAATGTACCCACTTAGAGGCTTGGGCCCGGGCTGCAATAGCAGGCTTGTCTCACAGGTACAGGGCTTGTAGAGGCCAGATTGGACTATCACATCAGGACCCCTCAGTCAGAGGAAGCTGAGGCGAGGAGAGAATTATATCCCTACAATTGGCAAAAGAGGAGGTACCTGAAATCCTAGCCCTTCCAGGCTCTAGGAATTGGTTATCAGAGCTGGAATCAGCCCCAGGGTACCAGGGTTCATTCTGTCTTCTGGGCACCGTGTGCTTGATCTCTGCAATCTCTCTCCCAGGCTCATAGGGAGGGACTACGTCTGCCGTTAGAGCTCATCATGCTACTCAGCAACCTGCTTCCTTCCAGAGCGACCCTTTCAGAAAGTCCTTTCTTAGACTGAGTTGAAATCTGCATTTGTGCTGCTGTTGTGCTGACCACACATTCACTTGATGTGGTGAAATTGCCAGGTGAACATGGCCAACGGGATAGTAACAGTGACTGTGATATTCAGGTTATAGTGAGTTCTGGGGTAGATCTGGCTGCCACACAATGGGAATCTGAACCAGCTGGAGGAGAGCCAAGATGGGGAAGGAACTGGAGATAAGGACTGAGCAGTTAGCTGCGTGATTGTGTTTGGCATTCAGCTTTTGTTGCTTGACAGTACAAAACACTTACATGCTAAAGAAAGTTAATATGAACCTGCGTGACTCCCACATTACATTCCAACCTTCGTTCCCTGTATGCCCGTTGTATATGAACTAATTCACACTACTGATACATGGCATTGTAGCAAAGCCTGTATTTCAAAATGCAGATGGACTGTGCTAAAATATTACCATTATATTAAATTCCAAATTTTTTTACTGGGGGGCACTCAGTTTTATATCATATTTTGTTGTTCGGAAGCATTATTGAAATTCCTTGATACTAGTATCCTGTCATATTTTTCTTTAGTAGCTTTGCTGGGCTCTGACAGTATATTTTTAAAAACTACGTATTAATGCAGTGGAGCTTAGTTTTAATTAGAACTTAATTCGCTGTCCATTTAAATTAAGATTTTTACAAATTGGGCCACGGTGACTAGATAGTGCTAATCACAATCAGTAGTCTGAATAGAACATAAAATCAAATTCTCATAGTACAGCTTAAGTGACAGGAACAACTGACATTTTAAATTAGAACTACTAAATTCCAAGCAATTAATGTACATGACCCCAGTTAAAGTGGATACTGGTAAATCAAATATGTAGAAACCAAATTTTTGTCCATTTAAATTTAATGATTAGTGAAGATAAGAAAAGGATATAATATTGCATTGATAGGTGGAAATTTACATGTTTGGAGTCTTGTAGGTTGATTTAAATAGCTTAGAAGAGTACTGAGAAGTATTTTAAGCCTGTGTACAGAGTTAGTTACCCAGTTTTTGTGGCCGTGAGATATAATTACAGAGCTAAGGCAGCTGGCATATGCCCCTCTGAAAAATTACTCACATGGCCAGTAATTTTGGTAAATGTGTATTGCCAACTCTGGCCTAAAATCATGTAACATCTTTATAGATGAACCAGTTGTGGCAAGGTTTGTCTAATTAATGACACCTAGTACATTGGTATGCAGTGATTAAATCCTGTTAAAGCTTGTTGAATAAATGAATGAATAAAATGAGAATTTTCCTGCATCATTAAGCAATATTCTGAAATAAAAAATAGATTCTGTTCCTTTAACTATTATTCATGACGTTGTTCATAGTTTAAAGGGTATGTACAAAAATAAGATATTCTAATCTTCAGTTAACTGAAAAATTAAGTTTATTATCACATACTTTTTATTAAACATTGCCAGTGCACACAGGGTTTATTAAATTCAGCCTTTTCTTTTTCAAATGTCATTTTATTATTTCAGTCTTAAATTTCTTCTCCCATGTGATTTTTTTCTTTCCTTACGACAATGGGTGGTGACTTTCCATTGATTGAGAAGATAGCATTGCTAATTAACTTATACAACCATTATAACAGACTTTAGCAGGTAGAAAGATTACAATTTTCCTTTAAATTTTTTGATTAAGTTTCTTCAAAGATGATCAGTGGCATCTGAATGATGACATTTCTCCTTGCTGATATTTTTAATCTAATTTTACCATTAATTAGAATATTTAATATACTTACCACTATGTTAAATACAGTATATTTTCTAAATTTCAAGAGTAAAGTTTATGAAATAGTTGAAATAACTAAAGGAGACTTTTTTTTTCCGCTTTACTCTTCTCGTTTTTACGGTACTTTTGAGCTTTAGCGTATGATTCTGCATCCCTTCTGTTCCATGCCCTCCCCTAGCAGTTAAGTTTTATTTCAGAATTTGATCTAAAAGAGAAGTATTATCTTGAATTATATAAACAGACAGGTTCCAAGAATGTCTCTGGAATTTTCTCAATGTTCTGATTACAGAGATTGAAAGTTGCGGTTGGAATAGTTTTTTTTTTTTAATATTCCGCTATCAGACACAAATGTATAGAAATTTTGGCAGATTCTGTCTAATCCATATTTTTCTGGTAACTTCTCTTTGCTCATTGCCTGAATGTAGAATAGAATGGACTGTATTTTTCTAATGTACCACCAGGGTTCCTTCAAGCAGATATTAGGTGTACTTAATTGGAAATATTTATTATGCACATGTATGGAGAGTTTTTAAGCAGTTGAGAACAGTTGCAGAATAGAAGACACCTATAAAGCTTCTTCCACATCCCCAACATCATTTGCACCTACCTCGCCAGAGTTTCTGAAAATATCACTGTGTTTGTTGTGTAATGTTGAGAGGATTCATGTTAGTATGCTGGAGCTTCACCTTCCAGGCTTCTGACTCCTGCTGTCTTTTACTTCTAGCACTGTGACCTCCGCTGTGTTTACTGTGGGAGATAATGTTGTTTCAGGCAGTGATGACCGCACTGTGAAAGTTTGGGATTTAAAAAATATGAGATCTCCAATTGCAACTATTCGTACAGACTCTGCCATTAACAGGTAAAATAAAGCTAGTCATTACACAAAGTATTTAACTTGCATAATAGACCTGAAATGGTTCGTAGTATTTCCATGTCTTATCTATGTAAATTGAGTGTTTAATTGATATAGCCTTGGGAAAAATGGCTTAGCTCCTGGTAAAATGTATTTTATCAATCCTCTAATGCAAATTCAGTGATTAAGTATAAAATCAGGTTGGTGTAGTATGCTTTGTAAGAAAAGAATAAGCCGTGTATGGCCATATGTAAGTATCAAGTAATATATGCATGTCTGTGTTGTGAGTATATGTGTGTGGGTGTCTGCGTGTATATTTTATAGTTACGTATAAGTAATTTGATTCCTTTATTTTAATGCCATGGTTAGATAATGCCTGCAATTTGATCATGTATTTGCCTTGAAATGTGAATAATATTAAACAGCCTACTGCATCATTACTTGTAAACCCAAAAACTTGTGTTCACTGTTTAAGCATAACCAACTTTTGTCTCCTCTTTGCAGGATTAATGTATGTGTTGGCCAAAAAATCATTGCCCTTCCACATGACAACCGACAAGTTAGATTATTTGATATGTCAGGAGTGCGATTAGCAAGGCTTCCTCGAAGCAATAGACAGGTAACAGAATTATTTTTGTTTGTAAGACTTAGAATATACATTCATAAAGGAAGTTAGAGAAGAACCTGGCATTTTATATGTTAGATCATGATAGTCTAAAAAAAATATAATGTGACCCACATATATAACATTAATTTTTCTAGTAGCCGTATTAAAAAAATGAAGAAATGGGAGGAATTAATTTTAACAGTACACTTTATTTAGCCAGATATTTTCAAAATAATGTCAACATGTAACCAATATAAAAGAATATTTCAGATATTTTACATTCTTATTTTCAGACTATGTCTTTGAATGCTTACTTCTTATTGGAAATACTTGATCTGTATTTAGAGATCATAAACTGTTAAGTTGGAAAAATAGTTACACACCCAAGATGTTCCAAAGCTACTTAAAAGTTTCCCATTAATTAAATAAAACTATCATTTTTTAAGTTTAAATTTAAATTAATTAAGATTAGAAATTCACTCCTAGTCATGCTTCAGGATCTCGATGGCACATGTATATTGGAAAGCACAGCCTTAGAGAGTTTCAGTTGGATTTGTAGAAACTAGAAATACTTTAAGTAGTTAATATAATAAAGCAGGACCAGTATTATGCATAGATTGGTGGTAGCTTAAGTAGCTCTTTAAGAAAGGATCCCTGCCTCCACACCAATCAAAAAACTCCTTTCAGGTTGTCACTGACAAGAAGGAATTCCATTTTAAATGCTGCTTTTGAATGGGTTAAGGGATTGATTGTTCCTTGTTAAAATAGAAATTCTTCAGAAGATGTACTGTGGGAGAGCTAGCCGTATTGTACATTAGGAGATGTAGTGTGGGAGAGCTAGCCATGTTGTACATTAGGAGATGTTGTGTGGGAGAGCTAGCCATGTTGTACATTAGGAGATGTCGTGTGGGAGAGCTAGCCATGTTGTACATTAGGAGATGTGTGGGAGAGCTGGCTGTATTATACATCAGGTCGGCGTTTCTCGAAGAATGGTGTTTAGACCACCCCCGTCACAGTGACCTAGAATGCTCAGTAAGAATTCTGATTTCTTGGCACCAGCTCAGACCTACTGGATCATAATCTCTGAAGGTGTTGCCTGGGAATCTGCCTTTTAAATAAATCCCCTGGGTGATTCTGATGTACTTTGAAGTTTGAGAGCCAAAGTCCTGGAGTGAATGAGTTTATTGGCTTTTTTCATTGATAGCTAATTGATATAAATGTAGTAAATAAAAACACCTCTACCTGTCAAGGCAGTGTTTCTCCAGATTTTTGTGGAGAATTGATTCCCACAACATGATCACTCTTTCCTTTTTTTCCTTTTATCTTCTCTGAATGTCTTCTTAAGATCTGTGTGATGAAAAGCCAGTGAATTCCTTTATTTTTAAATGAATGCATCCCCTGATCTGCCAGTCAGTTGTGTGTGTTTGGGAGGGGGGGTACATGCATACCTCTGACCAGTCACTTTTCAGCCTTTCTTTTTAATACAACATTCTCTACCAGTGACACGCCTTTACATCTGCTGCTCTGTTGATTTCCACCAGTTGTAATTTCACTGTGTCAAGCCTCAAAGTACATTTCATAGTTCTGCAATATATTCTTACTTCAAAAACTGTAGACCAAGGGTAGTTAAGTAGATAGATTTGTCACCAGCATAGCAACACCTTTTATTTAAGTGACATCAGGTTCCTGAAAAATGTCTTTCCTTAGTACAAGGATGTTTCAGCCAATCTTCTCTTTAACCGTTCATAAGTGCCCTGTTAGTTATCTTTTTATTCAAATTCACACCATAGAAAAATTGCTTATGAAATTATTTTAAGTAACTAAAAACTTTCACAATCCCTGACAAAGCCATGTATTGACTTGTCCAGGAGAATTTTTTAATATTCTGCAAACTGCCAAGTATCACTGATGTATCATCTAAGCTGCATCTTTAGCACAATAAAATGTTTCTATTTAAATGTTCTCTATCTGTGTAAATTGCTATGCAACATTGAAAGTTTGCATTTTGAAACAAAAATTTATAAGAATTTATGTGACTTCTATTACTTAGAGAATATTTTCCTCATGAAAATAGAGTTCTAAGTTGTTGTTTGTGGTCCTGATATAGACTATTTCATGTTTAACTTTTTCTGACATTCAACCTTGTTGAAATCGTAGAATTCTGTTGTGGTACATGAAATAGACTAATGAATTAACAGTTAACTTCACTGTGAACTTGTAACACATCTTCAGAGAAATAAATTTTTCAGTGTTAAAAAACCACGGCTAGAAATCATTGGCTTATGTCATTCTAGCTTCTTTCAGTTGACAGATTTTAAAAGAGAAAAAGGCAAAAACAAAAACACTGATTTGAAGTTTTGGTAGCTAGAGTGAATGGGACCAACAAAGTATTTTAATTTAAAATGGTATTACTTTTGGGAAAGTATAAGTCACATTTCCTAAAAATTTGTTTCAAGGAAAGCAAGCTCTATAGAATATTAAGAGGAATTACAAGGGTGGGGAAAAAAAAAAAAAGCTCTGTGATCCAGTAACTTTGTGAAATGTAGGTTTAAACAAACTTAAACAGAATTCTTTATTGAGGGCCTCTCAGAGCCTTTATTCTGCTAATGCCCATTGTGACTCTCCTAGAAAGCTGTTGGATCATCATCTCTGGGAAGATGATGATCTACGATACTATGTGAGCACACCTAGGACATTAGATGAAAGTGTTGACTTATAAAACAAGAGATTTAGCTCCCACGTTTGCTACTATTTTGTTTTTTGTTTGCTTATTTTACTAACTTCCTGGAGGTTCCATATGGTCTTTTCCCCTACGCATTTATTAAGTAGCTGAGTCCAGTGTTTCTACAATGAAAATCTTGAGTTTCTAATTTTTAAATCATTCTTGTACAGAGGCCTGGATTACTGCCCAACTAAATTAATGAAGGTGTTGTTTATTCTTTTTATTTAGGCTATTGACAAAGACGTAATACAAGATAACTTTTGTTACCCTTTGTTACGTGGCCTTCCTTGCTCGCAATAATTATATTTTTGTGGCCTGTCCTAATTCTCTCTCCAAATGTATGAGAACGTCTTTATATTTGAATGGTTTTACAGGGGAGATTTTGTAGCATTCTTTGGAGTATTTCTTTTACTTACTAAATTTCTGTCAGTTTTTCTTAATTCTAATTCTTGTACTTTATTTAATGATATAATAACAATAGCATGTTACAGTCGTCATAGTAATTTAGAAAATATGAATAAGTCCTAAGGCATTACTTGCAGACATGCTTAATGCATTAAGTTAAATGCTTGCATGCATGTGCACACACAGATGTACTAAATATTTAACACTGTAAATATTGTCAAATATTTTGCAATTATTTTTCCAGCATTCCAGTATTTAACCAAGATTCTTGAAGTTGGCAGGAATCTACTTGAAAGGTCATTTATTTGGGTACCAAATGTATTTTTCTGATTCCTTTATTACCTGAACCAATTATTTGTTAAAATGGTATTTGAGATCCTTGAGTGAATTTTATTTAATTTACCCCCAAATGTCATCTAGCTTTGTTTATTTATTCAAAAATTTCAAATTGATTACTTTTTCTATCTGGCTGTAATCTTACTTTCTTAAAGAATTTAAAAATATTTTTGATATGAGTCTTATTAGATTTATTATGTGTTTCAATCCCATTTTATTTAAGCTTTTCCACCAATACATTACTTAAAGCCCCCATTGCCATTCTCATTTCGGGTTCACTTGGATTAATCATTTTTATTATTTTATTTCTTTCACTTTGAGTTATATAGTTGTTAATTTGGTTGAGGCTTTATATTTCATGGGGGAATATGTTTTCAGAATTGTTGTCGGGGAATATGTTTTCAGAATTGTTGTCGGGTGCTGTCATGTTGGTTCCGACTCATAGTGATCCTGTGTATAACAGAACGAAACACTGCCCAGTCCTGTGCCATCCTTACAATCATTGCTATGCTTGAGCCCATTGTTACCAATCCATCTCACTGAAGGTCTTTGTCTTTTTCTCCGACCCTCTGCTTTACCAAGCATGATGTCCTTCTCCAGGGACTGATCCCTCCTGATAACATGTCCAAAGTACGTGAGATGAAGTATCGCCATCCTCGCTTCTAAGGAGCATTCTGGCTCTACTTCTTCAAGAGAGATTTGTTTGTTCTTCTACAAGTCCATGGTATATTCAGTATTCTTCGCCAACACCATGATTTAAAGGCATCAACTCTTCTTCAGTCTTCTTATTCACTGTCCAGCTATCGCAAGCGTCTGAGGCAATTGAAAATACCATGGCTTGGATCAGGCTCACTTTAGTCCTTAAGCTGACATGTTTGTTTTTTAACACTTTAAAGAGGTCGTTTGCAGCAGATTTGCCCAGTGCAGTACTTTGTTTGATTTTTTGACTGCTGCCTTCCATGGTCATTGATTATGGATCCAAGTAAAATGAAATCCTTGACAACTTCAGTATTTTCTCCATTTATTATGGTGTTGCTTATTGGTTTTCAGCATAATGCACTAATTTTGGTTTGTCTGATTTTTAATAGGGCCATAGAAGAATGGTATGCTGCTCAGCTTGGAGTGAAGACCACCCCATCTGCAATCTGTTTACTTGTGGGTTTGATAGGCAAGCCATTGGCTGGAACATAAACATCCCTGCATTGTTACAAGAAAAATAAGAGAGCTGATATTCCTTTGTTTCATTGTTTGCCATGGGCCTTTAACTGGTGCAGACTTTTCTGCATAACAATCTGCCATTTTTGTGAGAGTTTGAGTGCTTTATATATTCTTTTCACATTGTACCCAGTTTGCATGAAATGTACAGAAAAATGTGTGATCATATTTTTTCCTTATTTTTGTCTTGTGTATGACCTTTTGTATATTGACGTCTTCTAGTCAGTAGAAATGAAGTTCACTTCCCATGTAGCACTTCAAATGCTCATGAGTCATTCAGCGTTTGACAGATGAACATTAGGGCATTACATTTGTGTGAATCAAATGTGAAACCTATATACTTATTATGAGGAATATAGTAGTCTGTTGCATTTTCTGGAATAATTATACATATCTACCTTGTGTTGAAAAGATTGCAGAGCTAAATTTGAGTTGGATAATGAATGGTAGTGATGATCAAAGATTTCATGTTTACCTTCCCTATGAAGTTTTAGCATATGCCATTGTGTAATCAACTTCAACTCTAATTTCTATTATAGTTGTGTAAAAATAACCTGGATTTCATAAGTTTAAAAGAAAAATAGCATAGAATGTTGAGTTTCCAACATTTGGAGAGTTTCTTTTGAAAAGAAAAAATTTTCTGCTCTTTTTATAGAAAATCATTTCAATCTCCTACAGTCTCATATTAGCAAATTCTAAAATATAATGATTCTAATCACTGAAATATATTGCAGTAAAAGTTAAAGCACTTTAGTTTATAGCTATGGTTATAAACAGTTTATAAAAGTTTCAAATGACTTATCCATTGAATGTGACTTGACCTTTGTAAGAAGGACCTGCTACCTGAAACAAAATCTTATTTATTTTCTACACCTTTGGTTTGCATATTTCTAAATGAGTTCACTTCCTTGGTGGTATTTGAGAGCCAACAATGCAAATAAATGAGTACTACCTCGACAATAAATGTATTTGGAAAGCTTTGGAGTTTCACTGTTGCCTAGTTAAAGCACTTTTGATTTATAGCTGGAATATTGACTTCAGTTTAGAAGGCAAGAAAGACAATCACAACAAATGTATCCTGATGGTAAAAGGTTCATCAGTTAGGCTAATAAGGTCACAACCACAACAAGTTTAAGTCATAGGTCACAAGATGCTCTTGTCTTCAGTAGCTGGGACACCTGTCAGTGCCAGTCCTACTATTGTGTACACAAGCCTACTCTTGCCTTCTTAGAAGTTACTGTTCATCTGATACTTGTCAGTTAATGTTTCTTATTGATTTACAGTTTTGATAAAGAGACATCTCAGTATATTGCCCCTCGTATTCTTAACCCTTTAAATATGTTCATTTGGAGACTGATCACTTGGAGAGGCACAAGAAGGTGATGTTTAAAACTATCATGAATGCCCTCCCCCTCCACTTCACTGTGTTTTCTCATGTCAGTGGTGACACAGGAGGTTACAGGAGCTGGTGATTGGTAGAAGCCATTTGGTAAGGTGTAGTATTAAATAGAACTTTCAAGGTGTCCGTCAGTGGAGCTTAGCAAGAGTGAAAAACTGCCTTATTTATTGGCACATTTTGCTTAAGTCATGTAGTAGCTAATACTAGGAATTTAGGAGCTAAAGCATTCGAATAATTCTGAACTGATTTGTACAGGACTGGAAGGGAAGAAGGGACCCAAAATAACCAATACAGAGTAGAGGTTGCTAACTACGGGGCAAACAACACGTGTTTTAGAGTAATTTTATTTTTAAAGCTCAGAATGTTGTATTTCTAAAGTCTGACATTTTATGGTCACCGACCACAGTTTTTGAGAACTGAAGTCAAGCTTGCCACTAAGATGGATTAGAATTTCACTTTCAGCCACTGCTCTTCTAAGTGTGTTTTGCTTGATGGAGTTCTGTGCTATTATCAAGATACTTGCTGTGGCCTAATTTTATCTTATAATGAACTGTCTTATTGCCATGTCTCCTCTCATTTCACTGCTGTTCAAAGGAATGAGCATAAGATGACTTCTGAATGAGAAACTGCAGAAACCATGTTCTTAGGTTTGTTGTTTCATCTTATTTGGAAAGTTCAGGTACCTTAGAAGCATTGTTAGGAACATTAAAAAAGCGTAGACAAATAACGAAGTCAAACTTAAAAACTAAATTATCTGCAAGATTTTAAAATTTTGTGAAGCTTTTAAAAATATATATATTCATGATGGCCATTTAGTTCTGTGCAGACTACCCTTCACTGCCGATAGCTGCTCCCCTTCCTGTCACCAACTAGAGGGACCAACCTCTGACGCCAGAAATGAGTCTCTTCACTCATTTTCACTGCGGGTGGACAAACCCTAATGGTGCTAGAGCAGAGTTCTCAGGAGCAGGATGATATTTACTGTTAATTACTATGTCATCTTCTAACTTGATTTTATTCAATTGCTACTTGTGGCCATGTATGTTATTTTCAGCAAGTCATAAAGGAGATTGGGAATAGTGATTTTTTTTGTGTGTGTGTGTATGTGTGTGGCTACAATTACGTCACGTTATCAGTCACATGTGATATCATTTGAAATAGTGTTTTGAAACGGGAACAGTTTTGTCCTATATGCTGACTCATCCAGAATCTCATTTAATAATGGAAGGAAAATGTGTGGTAATTGAAAAATGTGTATTGATACAGAATTTCATTTGAGATACATTGTTTGAGACAAAGCAACATTCTTTTTCTCAGCCACTGCACATCAATTTTTGTAAAGTCTAAATTCTGTATATATTTTGGGATCTGAAGAATCCTTTGTAAATCATTTGTTGCTTAAATCTGTGAAAAGTAAGTTTCTTTGGGAGAAAAAGTATGCATTTATAAGTCTTAAGTGGAATTAGTTGTTTTTATTGTATTGATGTAATTGTTTTTTAAGTGTTCAGTGTCTTCATTGCAATATGAAATTCATTAAAACATCCATGTTCCATAATTATTCTTATGAAAGTTTTATGTTATTGGGAGACTTTTATTATTTTTTACTTACTTTTTCATGCTTTGCTTTGGTGAAACATTATTAATGGCTACCTAAATATCACAATGACATAGAAATTGGACAAATTAATTACAATATTGCTTGTTGGAAGAATTTTCATTATGGAATGAAAAATTATATTTCCTATCCAGCTATATTCTAAAATTAAATATTATATAATTATGCTTCTTCATCTGCTACCACCCTCTCCCCAAAATTTCTGAAGGGGTTAACAATTAGGCATAATACCGGCTTTTGGTAAAATTCCTCTGTGTATCAAAAAACTCTTGTACTGTTCTTATTACAGTTAAGCTTGTTTGAAAGTAAAAAAAAGTACAGTTATAGAAAGCAGTCATCATTTTCTGTGGGAGAATGCAAATCAAGATTGACAGTGACGATTTGAACATCATTATATTCTTCCAACGAAGCATTATGGTTAAAGAAACTTCAGGAGGTATTAAAATGCTACTGGATATCTTCTGGCTTGTCAGTGGCTCATTTTTCAGACTAGTAAAGAGCCCTGAATTGCATAGGCATTCAGAGGACATGCAGTCCCCAAAGAGTAGAAATTTTTCCACTGATTATTTAACTTGCTTACCTTACTCTTCACATAGCATGTGATTATTGCCTAAATTTTGTTACTACACCTTTAATTACAGATAAAAGTTCACATGCTATTATTATGGAGACTCAAGACTTGTATTGCTGTAATTTCATCAGAATGCCTGTAAGACATCTGTCTCACCACACATAAATTTTATTAGCTTTCCTCTAATAATTTAGAAATTTAAAAATTATTTCAAAATAATTGGGAACCCCCCAGTTGTTATGTGAAATATATAAATATGGTCCATATGATAGTGGGAAGAAGCTAAAATTGCAATAATAAAGTATTGTGTAATTTAAAATATTATTACAATAGCTTTTGTTAAGCATCTTTTGGTCAAAATGAAAATGGATTTTTGGAGCTATAAGAGCTGTTTGAGATAGACAAATCATACAGTTTCTTACGGGCCCACTTATGGCTTGTGGATTGAGATAGAGAATGAGGGAATGACTAAGTAATTTGGTCGAGGAGTCTTGTCTAAGGAGGTGACATTTAAACTGACATCTAAAGGTTGATAAGGTGTCATGGGAAGGAGGGGAGACAGAAGAGGGAAGAGAACAGTCCCAGGCAGGGATACCACCACATGCAAGAACCTTGGGGTGGGAGAACTTGGCTCATTCTGGGACTGAAATAACAGCATGACAAGAGTGCAGGGCAGGGGATGAGGGCCCAAGGGAAGGTTGGGTGATAGCCAGGCACCATATCATACGGACCTTGGAAAGAATATGGGTTTTATTCTCTGTGTATTGCAGAGCCATCAGAGCAATTTCAGCAGGGAAGTGACTTAAAGGCCACTCTGCCTTGTGGGGAGGGACTGGAGAGAGTGAAGATTAGAAGTAGGGAGACTGGGTAGTAATCCTTGTGAAAGGTGGTGGTTGCCAGGACTGTGTTGGCAGTGAGGATTGAAGTTTAGAGGATGGATTTGAGATATGTTTTGGAGGTAGAACAGGCAGTTCTTGCTGGAAGGAAGGGTTCTTTATTCTACGATTCAGAATGCATGTATGAAAAATGCTGTTATTAAATGTGCAGCTTTGACTGTACAGACATTCCTTATTATATCCAAAGGATGTTTTAAGCAATGACAACCTAAAATGAATAAGGATTTTTTTCCCTTAAAAAAATTAATAAAGGAATGTGTTAGGAAATTTCAGTCACACTCTAGAGACATTAAATTTAAATTAAAAAGAAAACATAGTTGCTTTTGAGCTGATTTTGACTCATGGCAACTGCATGTGTGTCAGAGTACTGTGCTCCATAGGGTTTTCAACAGCTAAGTTTTTCAGAAGTAGATTGGCCTTTCTTACCAAGTGCCTCTGGGTGGACTCCAGCCTTCAACCTTTGGGCAGCCAAGCACATTAACTGTACCACCCAGTTACCACCCAAATTTGTTATCTTATTTGAATTTATATACTTATGTACTGATAGGCTGTTTTGTCTCCACCACTCCAACACTATCACTCTCTCAGACTGCTTTGGGGCCTTGCGTCTGGCCCTCATCCACATGGTCACTGTAGGAGTGCTCATTGTATCTGATTGCCACTGAAGCAGACTGCCACATCTTTCTCCTGAGGATTGGTTGGTGGGTTGAAGTGCCAACCTTTTGGTTAGCAGTCAAGCGCTTAAACACTGCACCATCAGGGCTTTTCATTTGTCCTCAGCTGATTGGTGAGGGGTGAGAGGGTGCACCTAACCCAAGCTGGGCCAATGAGGATTCTTCCTTGAAAATTTTGGAACTTGAACTGAGAACGTCAGTCTCTCCAGTAGGTCGTAAAAAATTGTAAGCCCAGGAATTGTCAGTGGCCATGTTTTTTAATTTGAGAGAAAATGTGAAGTGCTTCAAAGTGCTAAGAGAATAACTAGAATGTGTCCTCAGCAAAGCTATCTTTTAAGAATGAATGTGAAATAAGATACTTAAGGATAAACGAAAAGTTTTTACTAGTAGACTTTCCTTACTGAAACTTCTTAAGGAGATACTGTAAAAATAAGAAAAATTCAAGAAGGCATACTGACAGAAAGTTGTCAAAATACCAACAAGTATCTATGTAAAAAACAGGTCTGATTGCAGTTAGTGATTTAAATGTCTTTTATTGTCTGGGTGAGGGATTGAAATATTGATTGATCTTGTTTAAGCAGTTAAATATGTAAAGTAAAATCTCAAGGGAAACTACTAAACACATGTGCTCACGCACACAGGCATACACTGGAAATAGAAAAGAAACTAGTAAAGGTGGTGACCTGTAGGGGGATTGGGAAATGTAAACATGAACTGGGTGGAAGTGACTCCTTTTATTGTATTTGTTTTTATTTTAGAACCATTGAGATGTATTATCTAGTACCTGAAAAGTTAACATTTTATGCTAACAAAAAAACATATAAAGTACCTAGGGAGAAAAAATATGAAAAAAAATAAAAAGAGGTTGGAAATCATCCATGGGAATATTTTCAAACTTTAACAAAGATATTAAAGAAAATTTAAATAAAATGAGAGATACACCATGCTTAATAATTAGTAAATAAACTTTTTGCCTTTGAGTCAATTTAGACACATGGCAACCCCATATGTTACAGAGTAAAACTGGTCTGTAGGGTTTTCTTGGCTATAATCTTTCCAGAAGCATATTGCTAGGCCTTTCATATTGTAAAAATGTCAGTGCTCCCCATAGTAATAAGTAGACTCAATGCAATTCCAATCCAAATCACCTCAGAGTTTCTTGAAGATTTTGACAATGTGATTCCTAAACTTATTTGAAAGAGCAAAGGCTAGGGTTAACAAGGTACTCGAGAAAAGAGAAAGAGGAAAAGGAGAAAGGAACAAAATTGATCAGGCTATAGTAATTAAAGTGTGGTATAGGCATAGAAATAGAACAATGGACCCATGGAACCAAAAAACAACAATGAGTTTGGTCCCTACCCCAGACCAAGAAAAATCAATTTCAGGTGCATTAAATATTAAAGGAAAAACATTTTAAAAGAAAATATATGTTAATATCTTTATGCTCTTGGATTTATTAAATTACCAAAAATGTATTAACTATACAAGAAAAGATTAATTCAGCTATATTAAAATTAAAAAGATTTTGTTCATTATAGGACACTTTGTTGTTGTAACTAGCTGTCAGATCAACTTCAACTCATGGTGAATTCATGTATAACAGAATGAAACTACCCTGTCCTGTGCCATCCTCATGATCATTGGTATGTTTCAGTCCATTGTGGCTAATTTGTCAATCCATCTTACTGAAGATTTTCCTCATTTTCACTGATGTTCTACTCTACCAAACTTTATGTTCTTTTCTAGCAATTGGTCTTTCTTGATGATGTGGCCAAAGTAAATGAGCTGAAGTCTCACCATCCTCACTTCTAAGTAACATTCTGGTTGTATTTCCTCTAAGACTGATTTGTTTGTTTTTCTGGCAGTGCACAGTATATTCAATCTTTTTCACCAACACCACGATTCAAATGCATCAATTCTTGTCTTTTTCATTGTGCAGCTTTCACATGTATATGAGGTGATTGAAAAGACCATGGCTTGGGTCAAATGCACCTTAGTCATCAAAGTGACATCTTTGTGAAGGGGAAACAAGCCTTGCAAGGCTGAACTTGAGTGCCAGCATGTAGTCCGCCAGCTCACTACAGTTTGCATTCTTATGTAAGCCCCTGGCATGGAGCCACTGTCAGCCACCACCACTATAAAACCTCTGCCCTCCCATTACAGGGTGTGGAGATCTGCTTTGGTGCTTCAGCCACCAAGAACCACTGCTTTTTATGTAGGTCTCCCTAATATACTCCTTTACTGCCACACTGGAGTTGCCTGCTTCTTTCTTCGGTCTCTCAGCACCCTTCATTTTTAGGGGCAAATTTCAAGTCACTGGTCTGTGCCTGTACAGTTGGTGATCCAGCCAGGAGACTGAGGAAATGGCAAGTGGGAGTGAGACATCTGTAGGGGAAATCCCAGGCTGGCCAGTGACCTCCCTGTGGGGATGTCTGGCCCATATGTCTTTCTGTGGGGGGAATCCTGGGCTGGCCACCAAAGCCCAGCTAGCTACTGAAGCACGCATAAGAGCTTTGCAGAAAGAGTTACAGTTGGAAAGGGTTGTGTGGCAGTTGTGTGAGGGCACAACTGATGTAATGAGCAGCTGTGTTCATGAACAGGATGAGCAACGAGAAACACTTGCCTGTAGGTTCGTAAAGATGGGAGATTCTAGGGTGTCTTAGGCTGGGTTCTCTAGAGAAGCAAAACCAGTAAAGCATATAAATATATAGAGAGATTTATATCAAGGAAATGGTTCACACAGTTGTAGAGGCTGGAATGTCCCAAGTCTGGATCAGGATAGAGGCTTCTCCTGATTCATGT